TCTTCAGTCATCCCGTCAAACACCACTTGTTGCTTGTTTTCTGGTTGCTTGGCTTTGCTAGTTTCTACTGCAAGACCATCTTTATACAGGGCATTCTCGTTGAAAGTGACATCTCTACTTCTGATAACCTTCTTGCTGTGGTTGTCCCAGAACCTGTAGCCCATGTCATCCATCCCATACCCAATAAAGATACACTTCTTTGCTTTTGCCTCGAGCTTGTCACTATCTGCATCTCTAACTTTGACATAAGAAATACAACCAAAAACTTTCAAGTGAGTAAGAGATACCTCTCGACCTTTCCATTCCTCTTCTGGAATTTTGAAACCTATGGGAGATGAGGGTCCTCTGTTGATCAAGTACGCTGCTGTGCTCACCGCATCGGCCCAGAACATTTTGGGAAGTCCTGCATGCAATCTCATGCTCCTGGCCCTCTCATTTAGTGTTCTGTTCATCCTTTCTGCAACACCATTTTGCTGTGGTGTTTCTGGAACCGTCTTCAGCATTCTGATCCCCTGTTCAGCACAATACTCTACAAACTCTGTGCTACTGTACTCACCCCCATTATCACTCTTTAAACACTTAATCTTGAGATTTGTTTCATTCTCAACTGCAGCTTTGAACTTCTTAAAGGTGTTAAAGACATCAGATTTATTTTTAAGAAAATAAACTCATACCTTCCGTGTAGAGTCATCAATGAATGTAACATAGTAGCGGGAACCTCCAACCAGAGAGACCTTTGTAGGTCCGTAGACATCTGAATGAATCAACTCCAGCCGCTCAGTCTTGGGTTGTTGTCCTGTCTTCACAAAGGTTACCCTCTTTTGTTTGCCAAGAACACATGGCTCACAAAACCTCAACTTTGAATTCTTCAAATCTGGGATTTTGCCCTTTAAAGACAGCATCTTCATTCCGTTCTCATTTATGTGCCCAAGTCTTTGGTGCCACAAAGTAGAGACCCCTGTATCTTCAACTGCTGCGTTTGCTCCATCTGTGGACACTTCAACCATGTACAGTGTGCCATGCTTCTGTCCACGAGCAATGACCAGCTTTCCCTTTGTCACCTTCCATTGCTTGTTGCCAAAACTAACGTTATGGCCTTCCTCATCAAGCTGTCCCACTGAGATCAACATCTTCTTCAGGTCTGGAATATACCTCACATCTTTTAACCTCCAGGTTGTACCCAAGTAGTACTGAGATCAACATCTCCAATACCCGTGATCTCCAAGGATTTGTCATCCGCCAAACGAACTCTTCCGTTGTAGGTCCTGAAATTTTTCATCAAATCCCTGCAATGACAAGCATGAAACGACGCACCTGAATCCATGATCCAGGATTCAATTAAATTCTCAACGCTGCAAATTAAAACATCTTCATAATCCTCTGCCACGTTCACCTCCTTCTTGCCTTTGTCTGCAGAGGCTTTTGGGCACTGATTTCTGAAGTGTCCATTCTCTTTGCAATTCCAACAATTGATGTCCTTCCTATTCTTGGATTGACCTCTCTTCCTCGACTTTGATCTTCCCTTCTTGTTACCCCCCTCTAGTGGATTTTCTACCCCTATCTTCAGTACTCAACAAAATGTTGGAGCTATCCCCCGAACTCCTCCTCCGGATATCCTCACCAAGGATTAAGTCACGAATACCTTCAAAGGTAAGCTTAGTGGTTCCAGATGAACTACTAACCACTGTGACTGTACCAGACCAACTATCGGGAAAAGATGATAACAAAAGTAACACTTGAACTTCATCATCGAATTTAATCTCAACCGAGCCTAACCTGGATATGATTGAATTAAACTCGTTGATGTGATCTGTCACGGAAGCACCTTCCTTCATTCTTGTGTTCACCAACTGTCTGATTAAGAAAACCTTGTTGGCCGCTGAGGGTTTCTCAAACATGTTGGATAACGCCTTGAGCAGTCCAAACGTTGTCTTCTCGTTGACGATGTTGTAAGCAACGTTTTTCGCCAACGACAACCTCACCACACCAAGAGCCTGTCGGTCCAACAAGTTCCACTCCGCCTCCGCCATCGTCTCTAGTTTGTTCTCAGACAAGGGTAGATGAAGCTTTTTCTGGTAGAGATAATCCTCGATCTGCATCTTCCAGAAAGCGAAATCTTGACCATCAAATTTATCGATCTTAACCTTCCCTTCGTCAGCCATAGCTCTGATACCACTTGTTACGATTAGGAAAAGATAAATGATAAATCAAGAGCAAGAACACGAGAATTTACGTGGTTCACACAATCGGGTTGATTGTGCTAGTCCATGGCGAACGAGAGAGAGAGGATGTATTATTATCGGCGTCCAGGTTTACAGATACATCAGATGTGTTTAAATAGGTTTAAGAAAACCTAAACAAAGATTAGAGCCGCAGGCCCAAAATTAAGCTCGTACGTAAAAAATTCCCGTAGACCCGGTCGGGTGCCCTCCTTTACCCGGTCGGGTCTCTTCTCAGAATTAATGCCCGGGTTGATACCAGGGCGGGTATCCAAAACAGAAGCTAAAAACCATCACTGACCCGGTCAGGTACGTCTCTTGACCCGGTCGGGTCTCACGTTCCAGTGAGTTCCCAGGTCTCTGCTTCAACATACCCGGTCGGGTGACCCAATATACCCGGTCGGGTAACTGCTTTAAAATTCTGAACAAGACTCCATCTTCAACAAGTGATTGTGAAAATGGCGTCCCAAAATTTAACACACTGGAGATTGGTTGCTTGAACAATTTGAAGATCACTGACTTCTTTGCAATTGATTTTGATACTCCTCTCTCTGCATGTATTTAGAAACAAGTGAATCATTTCAAAATAAACTTTGTATGAGAACTGAGTAAAGGAGCTGTGCAAGTGATGGGTTATCCTCTCCCCTTGATGATTACGAACGAGGAAACCAAAGTTATGGGTGTAGGAAGTATTAGTGTGAGCAATGCTAAGGGTGAATTGGTTAAAAGGTGGAGGAGTCCAAGTGAGGATACGAGTATTAGCTCTAGAGGAACGCTTAGCAACACTATTTTTTGGATGTTGTGGAGATCTTTCGTTATGTTAAAAATGGCCTCAGAGTTGTTTGGCATAATGTCCTCATAAAGTGTAGCATTACGCATTTTCCAAAGGGTCCAAAGAATATTGACGTAACAGAGGAAGTCTTTATGGTTGGTCCAATTAAGAACATTGTCCTTGAGGTTGCCTTCCAACCTTTGACTCGGAATATTGAAGTGTGACCGGATGGAAGCATGTGCTGGGCAGCGTAGGAAATAATGTTCCAGAGAGTCAAAGTGGTTGCAATGAGGACATTTGAAAGGACCATAAAAACCCATCTTTTGGAGAGAGATAGCATTGATAACCAAATTGTTAATAATACGCCAAAGGAAAAACGAAACCTTTTTAGGAATAGGATTTTTCCAAATAAGATCCAGGTTGGCATTTTTGCAACGTTTTTTGCGAATCTCATCATAGGCCGATTTTATTGTGAAAATCCCAGTTTTGTTACGGTTCCAAATGATTTTATCTGGTTCATTATCAAAAGGAGGGGGAGAGGTGGTCAAGGCCTGCCTAACGTCAGGGGGAAGATCCCCGGGGTGCCGGTCAATATTGCTGTAGGCGGCACTGATAGTAAGATTAGGGTCATAGTTCTCGGAGGAGAATCTGTGCAACGGTCCGAATGAGCTCCAATTGGAGTCCCAAAAGGACCTGTTCCCGGCATGCACAATCACAGTAGTGTTTCCACTATATATGTGTTTTACAGAGTACATAGACTTCCAGAAAACAGATAATCTAGGAGAGTGCATAGAATTGAAAATGGTAGCCCAAATGCTTTGATCTTGATCCGTTTTCCACCAAAGTTTTAAAAAGAAACTGCTTTGAACCTCATGTAACCTGCGAAATCCAAGGCCATTCTCATTATAAGGGAATGAGCAGTTAATCCAAGACCTCCAGTTATAGTGTTTAGGAGAATTGATATCTTTATTCCAAAGAAAATTAGAACAACGTTGTTCAATGTCATAAAGCACACTTTTGGGGACATGAGAGGAAGCCATAGTATAAATCGGAATAGTGGACAGAACATGTTTAATCAAAACCATCTTACCGGCATGGGAGGGCAACTTGTACTTCCAGCTATTAAGTTTTTGGTCAATTCTAGTGATGTGGTGAGAAAAATAAATTTTTTTAACACGGCCCAAAAAAATATTAACACCAAGGTAAATAAAAGGAAAGGATCCTTTGGTCATTTGAGAGACATGGTGAATCATATTATTCGTACCAGGGGGAGTTAGGAGCAGTATAGAAGAAGCTTTTCTCAGTGTTGATTTTTTGCCCAGCACAGAGTTCATAACAATTTAGCAATTTAAAAAGTTTGTTGAGGGTGTGTTTGTTCCCATTTGAAAAAATAATCAAGTCATCAGCATAAGATAAATGGGTAATGATAGGGAGACCAACATGGGAATAGTAAGGCTTACCTCCTCCAAGGTTATACAAAGCATTGAGATTCCTGGAAAGAGCCTCCGAGACGATGATAAAGAGAATTGGAGATAAAGGATCTCCTTGTTTCACACCACGCGAAGGGTTGAAAAAACCATAGGGGGAGCCATTTATTAAAACAGAAAACCAAGTTGCTTTGAGATTGTTGAAAATTAGTTTATTAAAATACAGGTGAAATCCGAATTTTTCCAGGACCGAGTTTAGAAAGGCCCAGGAAATACGGTCAAAAGCCTTGATCATGTCAATTTTGAAAATGACGTTGTGCCCCGTAACCTTTTTAGTTAGACATTTAGTTAGCTCCTTCATAGCCAAAATATTATCAACAATTTCTTTACCATTTTGAAAAGCAGTTTGTTCCTTAGATATGAGTTTGTTGAGAAGGGGTGTAATCCGAGTAGTAAGGATTCTGGTAAAAATCTTGTTTATGAAATTACTAAGGCTTATAGGTCTGAATTTGTGAAAACTGGATGGTTGAAAGTCCTTAGGGATGAGGGTGATAATGTCACGCCCCGGACCTCCCCGGACACGTCAACAACCCGCCGTACAATACGAATAGTCAACCGCAGTCCAACACATTCATATTATACAAGGCGTCTTGAATATCATTTACACATATAACATCCATAAACAAACATAATAAGTAATTCATAACGCAGCGGAAAACATTGTTTAAAACAAAAGGGCCACACAGGGCTATTCATGAGCACGCAGGCTCTAAAGTAAAATATCCATGAGCATGTTTAATATTGTTCAAAACAGAATGGAGAAAGCACGAACCACGTCTTCTCTCCAAAGGATCACCCGAGCAACGGGCACAGGAAGCAAGCTCTAGCCTCAACCTGAAAAATGGTGGTGGGACGCCCCCGAAGGGGTCAGCACTCTATAGGGCTATAAAGTGCTGGTGTGGATGGCATCTAAGGGATATACAACAAGTATTTCAAACACAAGACCCTCAAATAGGGTGATAATACAATATAGTGGTAACCCCAAGTTACCTCGTTTGAAAATATACTTACTTTATATAAAAGTCAAGTAGTCGGCCCGTGGGCCCATGTTCATTTAGAAATCGCCATTCCCATTCCCCGTGACTATGAGCCACGACAATTCATAGAGTTCATTACATTACCATTGCATAGCAAGGGCTCGGCCCAACTACATTTCTATGCAATCCTTTATGTCAAGTTCGTTATATTACATTTGCGTCCTATCACATTTGCATAGCAAGGTCTCGGACCAACTACATTTCTATGCAAATTGCAATTTACATCCTATCACATTTGCATAGCAAGGTCTCAGACCAACTACATTTCTATGCAAATCACAATTTACATGGCAAGGTCTCGGACCAACTACATTTCCATGCAAATCACAATTACATCCTATCACATTTGCATAGCAAGGTCTCGGACCAACTACATTTCTATGCAAATCACAATTTACATCCTATCACATTTGCATAGCAAGGTCTCAGACCAACTACATTTCTATGCAAATCACAATTTACATGGCAAGGTCTCGGACCAACTACATTTCCATGCAAATCACAAAGTCCGGCTCTAATTCTTCATTATAGTCCAATTCCTAAGCAACCCTATGCCTAGAATTGACATCTCAATAATCTACCTTGGGTCATTCTCAATGACCGCCCATAACATGCCCTTAGTTTCATACTAAGTCATTTTATACACTTGAAGTACATTCAAGTTCATTCCATACAATCCAATACTTAGGATCAATTCTATCAACAATTTCAAATAATCACTAACTAGTATTTTCAATACTATTAAGATTATTGTCATTATACAAATATCTTCATTTTGTAATTCTCTACATATTTATAAGTATGTAGCATCAACTTAAATATTCCACTTCAATACATAATATCCATTTATGTATCCACATGTTTAATACATGAGTAAAATTCCTATTTCACAAAATAGTTCATTTATAACTCATTTAATCTCATATTATACATACATCCTCAAATCATTTCCAATTTCATTCTTTGGGAACCATATCAATATTTCATCAATATTTAATCATCATAATCCATGAAAAATTATGATTTAGGCATTTAGGTAATCTCATGCTTAACCTACAAGTTGTAAGCAATTAGATGTCGATCCTCACCTCAAATGAGCTTTAAACTATTCCTTCTTGATCCAATGACCAAAGCCTCGGCCAAGGAAGTTTGAGAACTGATTCCTTGCTTAAAAATGAGTGTTAAACAGCCTCCTCGAGGTGCTTGCTCAACTCCTAACCGAAGACACGAAAACAGTCCCTAGAACGGGTGTTTTCCGACAAATTCGTCCCCTAACCTTTCAAGGTTTTGTCTAGGTTAGTATCTAACATTTCCAACAATTAAAGTCACTATATAATAGCATCTTATACCATTCAACCAGTTTATAATAGCTCTTAAATCATTCATACGATTTAGACAATAGAGAGGAAGGTTTTGGATTCAAACTTACTTTGAATACAAAAACGTATTCTGCAAGGTTGCGTTTTGTTCGGACGATTTGGAGGCCTTAAACTGCTCCGTTTCCTTCAAACCGCATGTCTATGGATTCCTCTTCTTGAGAGCTTTCAGTGGACACCTCACACGCCCCTTTTGGATGAGTATTTCTCAAGATACGAACCAAACAGTGAGCTCCACGAACTGGAGATTAACCCTGCGGCCAGCTCCCTTATCTCTTTCTCTTTTGAGTGTGAGGCTCTCCCTTCTTTCTTATCCCTTTCAGTTCGAATGGGGGGTGAGGGGGAGGTGTTTAGGAGCTCTCAAAATGATATCTAAGCATGTGGTTCACAAAAAGAAAGGGTAGGGTGTTTGATTGCAATTAAACATGGTGTGGACCTCCTCTTTTATTTCTTTTTTGTAATGTTGTAGCTCTCAAGTCAAATGTCCGCCCCACATAGTTGTCTCACCCATTTTTCTTTGTCTTGCAGGTACCAAGGTCATGTGGGATGGTTCCCAAATGATCCCATTCAATTTGGGGTCCAAAATACCTACCAATACTTCCAAAATGAAAAGATGGACCCTATTGTTTTATCCTTGTCATGAGATGTCTTTTTGTACTCCTTATAATTTATGTAGGCCAAGTCAACTTCATAAATCATATTATTGATTCCCAACATGTGTAGGATCATCCCAATAACTTACATGTTGAATATTATAGAAGGAAAATCATACTCCCATTATTTAGCTCAAAAATGTCGAAGATGGGACCATAGGCATTTGTATTCTTCTCTAATCATACTATCACTTATTTTGACATTGTCATTCATATATTGGACTACTAGCCGTGTGGGTCACCCCCGAGTGGGCCTACGATGCCATTCTTGAATACTTGCTATTTTTAGCAGGTTGGGCCCAAAATAATGTTTGGGCCGCCCGACCTTCCTCAAATTGTTTTGAAAGATTATGTAACATTATTTAGATAATGTTGGGCTCTTATGTTCATTAATAAGGCCCAAATAAGTATTTGCAAACCCGACACTAACATACGAGTTTGAACAATACAAAAATCAATCATGCGCTACGTAAAACATTAATTGTTTTACAATTGTTTGGAAGTCGAAAATTCAATACATAGAAATTAATTTTTTTTTTATATTGAGTTTTTCAAGGACGTTCGGGTGCGGTGTCACAAGTTCACCCCCCCTTAACAGGAATTTCGTCCCCGAAATTCGCAACTCTACTCAAATAGGGAAGCATACTACTCCCTCATCAAAGCCTCTATTTCCCATGTCCCTTCTTCGACACGATCGCTCTTCCAAAGGACTTTAACCATTGGGACTTCTTTACTCCGCAGTTTCTTCACCTTTCTATCAATGACCTTAATCGGTTGCACAACGTAGTTCACATCCTCACGTTCCTCTACAGGCGGATATACACCCAATTGGGCTCTCAATGCCCTCAAACTAGTCAGCAATGCCCCAGACGAACTCTTCTGACTGAGGGTATTTGCTACAACGTTTTCCTTACCTGGATGGTACTCAATAACTAGATGGTAGTCCTTTATCAACTCCATCCACCGTCTCTGTCTCATGTTTAACTCTTTATGAGTAAATACACACTTCAAGCTCTTATTATCAGTGTGTATGTGACACGTCTCCCCGTAGAGATAGTGTCCCCATATCTTCAATGCAAACACCACTGCTCCCAGCTCTAAATCATGAGTAGGGTAGTTTACCTCATGCCTCTTCAACTGTCGTGAAGCATAGGCAATTACCCCTCCCATCCGCATCAATACACATCCAACCCCTTGGATGCTCGCATCACTATAGACATCGTGCCCCATACCCTGTTTGGGTAGTGCAAGTACTGGTGCCTCGGTTAACCTCTTCTTCATTTCTAAGAACCCCTTCTCACATTTGTCATCCCACACGAACTTAGCTCCTTTACGAGTGAGCTTCGTCAATGATGATGCCAGAACAGAGGACTTCTCCACAAACTTTCTGTAGTAGCCTGCCAATCCAAGGAAACTACGAATTTCCTTGACGTTCTTTGGCCTCTCCCATTCGGTAATGGCTTCTATCTTCTTGTTATCAACTGCAATTCCCGATCCTGAAACCACGTGCCCGAGGAAGCCAATCTCCTTTAGCCAAATTCACACTTAGAAAATTTGGCATAGAGTTGGTTCTTTCGTAGTGTCTCAAGAACGAGTATCAAGTGCTCTTCATGTTCTTCCTCACTCTTTGAGTAAATCAAGATGTCATCTATGAACACAATCACGAATCGGTCTTGGTACTTATGAAATACTCGGTTCATCAAGTCCATGAATGCCGCCGGGGCGTTTGTTAACCCAAACGACATAACCAGGAACTCAAAATGCCCATACCTTGTGCGGAAAGCACTCTTTGGTATGTCGTCTTCCTTAATCTTCAATTGATGGTACCCCGATCTCAAGTCAATCTTCGAAAACACGGTTGCTCCTCGTAGTTGATCAAACAAGTCATCAATCCTAGGCAACGGATACCTATTCTTGATTGTGACCTTGTTCAGTTGACGATAGTCAATGCACATTCGAAGTGTCCCATCTTTCTTTTTCACAAAAAGAACCGGTGCTCCCCACGGGGAGTGGCTTGGTCTAATGAAACCGTTATCTAAAAGCTCTTGCAATTGGGTTTTCAACTCGTTAAGTTCGGCGGGTGCCATCCGGTATGGCGGTATGGAGATTGGTTTGGTACCAGGCTCGACCTCGATCACAAATTCAATCTCTCTGTCAGGTGGAAGCCCCGGTAGGTCTTTAGGGAAGACATCCGGATACTTACAAACCACCCTCACATCATCGGCGTTCGTTTCCTCTTTGGCTTTGTCAACCACGTATGCTAGATATGCGTGGCATCCCTTCCTCATCATATTTCTCGCTCTCACGGCGGATATGATACAACTATTTGATTTGCCGCGGTCCCCCTCGAAGCGTAGGGTGTCCCCCTGTGTGCCTTCGAGTTCCAACACCTTTGTGTAGCAATCTACCCTAGCATGATGCTTTTCTAGCCAATCCATCCCTAGGATTGCATCGAACTCCATCATACTCAGCGGTACGAAATCACACATCAAGGTTTGGCCACCGATTTCCACCATACAAGATGGATAGTAATTGTTTCTTTCAACGTCTTCCCCTAGTGGGGTTGATACCACTAAGGTTTGTGTCATTGGTATTGATTGCATCTCTAAGCTCTCGGCAAACGCCTCACTCACGAATGAACGTTGCGCTCCGGTATCGATAAGGATTCGTGCATCCTTCCCGTTAATCTTTAGTGTTCCTACATTTATACACCATGTAAGATACCTTTTCTAATGGTTTAGGACACTTTTTGGAGGTTAATAGGTTCATATAAATGTTCGGAATCAAACGGGGGTCCAATTGTAGAAGAACGAGATGAAAAACTTAGGTTTCGGGCGGCTGGGGTCCACGCACGGTCGTGCGTGGGACACGCACGGTCGTGCGTGCATGAAGAAGCTCGCTTCCGGCTACTGCCGGTTACGCACGGTCGTGCGTACCCGGCCACGCACGATCGTGCGTCCACGCACGGCGTGCGTACCGGCACGCACGGTCGTGCGTCCTGCGCGAATTTCACCTGGAACCACTGTCCCCTACGCACGATCGTGCGTGGGGTTGGACGCACGATCGTGCGTCCCTGTTTTTGGTCAGTTTTGGCCCGAATTTCGCCGTTTGACCCCGAAATGGCTCGCACTCAATCCCTATGACTTATGTCATCAATTTATGGATTAAATATGGACAAAATACAATTGTGCAAGAGGCAATACCTGCAACCGAGTCCGGGTTAGCTCGAGCATCCGCCTCCGTCATCGCATAAACTCTAGCTTGAGTTCTTCCTTGATTCACGGATGGCGCGTTGCTTGCGCTTGCTCCTCCATGCCCCCTAGTTAATTGGGAACCCCGGGCTTGGTTTCTTGTTCCCGTAGCCCCGCTACTTGGTCCCGATGACCTTGCCCCACCCAATTGTGGGCAATTCATCTTCAAATGCCCGGCATCCCCACATTGGAAGCATCTAGGAGGGTCACGACACTTACCAAAGTGGCTCCTTTTGCAATTATTGCACCGAGCTACCCCCGAGGTCCGTGATCCTTGTCCATTCGGGTCTTGGTTCCCCCTAGGTGGGGGCGGTGGTGTTCGGAAAGATCCTCCTCCATGGTTTCCCTTTTTATTGGAACCTTGAGGGCCATGACTCTCCCCCTTTCTCTTTTTCGCCTCTTCGGCATCTCTCCTCTTCCTCTCCTCCCATTGTTTCTCCCCTTTCAACCCTTGCTCGACCACTTGGCTAAAGGTCATGTTAGGCAACTGTGTTGCCCTCTCACGCACCTCTAAGTCCAAGGCATCCCAGAAGTGATTTACCATCCGGTTCTCGTCACAGACATACTCCGGTATGAACTCCGCGAGCTCCCTGAATTTGTGTTCAAGTTGCCTCACCGTCATTTTGCCCCCTTGGGTCAGGAGGGTATACTCTCTTCTCTTGGCGTTCACCTCAAAATCAGAATAATATTGGGCAAAGAATTCCTGTCGGAAATTCTCCCAAGTCACCGTGTTGCCATACTTTCCCTTGGCTCCGTCCCACCATGTGGATGCCATCCCTTCAAGCAACCTCACCGCCACCCTTAGCTTAAACTCGGGGGTGAGTTGCATATCAAGGGCTGCTTCGTTCAACCTCTTGATCCATTCCGCGGCGACCGAGATGTCACCCGCTCCGTTGAAGGGTTTGCACCCCAAGTCTCGTGCCTCTTTGAGGTATTTGGAGATCCTTACGATCGGGCCTCCATCACCTCGGCCCTCATGTGGTCCGATATGGGCCCTAGAGTCACCATGACTCCTCTCCCTTGAAGCCCCGCCCGAAGGTTGCCCGGCTCGGCGCCTTCGACGTTCCCTCCTCTCTTCACGCTCACGGTGATATTGTTGGAGTAGTGCCTCAATCCGTGCTAAGGAGCCGTTTTCCTCCTCATCACTTACATCATCATCATCATCATCCCCTTCATAAGGGGTTTCAACCGGTTCTGTCTCCGGTCGATAGGTCGAGTCCTCATAGGACCAGTAGCTCTCGTTCTCGGTACTCACATGACCGTCGCTCACGGTCTGTGATCGGCCTCCTCGGCCAGCTCCTCTAGATGCCCTAGAGGTCCTTCGACTGCCCTGTCCAGTCTCCACTGGTACACGGCCAGTCAGGTTTCTCCTAGTAATCCTGCCACCACGGTCCATTTCTGAAAGAAATTTGGAAAGAGTCGTTAGACTCGTATCAATGTCAATTGACGGATAGGTACTTAAGACACATTTTGGCTCGAGTCACCGCCATACCAATTGCTAAGGGTACCATCTTAACAATTAGAGACCTTGCAACCCAAGTACCAAAAGCTCTCCAAGTACAAAACTTCTATGCTCATGGTTTTCAAAATCTTTTCAAGAGAGAATTTTGAGACTTCATTATGAAGTTTATGGACTAAGGCTCTGATACCAACTTAATTGTCACGCCCCGGACCTCCCCGGACACGTCAACAACCCGCCGTACAATACGAATAGTCAACCGCAGTCCAACACATTCATATTATACAAGGCGTCTTGAATATCATTTACACATATAACATCCATAAACAAACATAATAAGTAATTCATAACGCAGCGGAAAACATTGTTTAAAACAAAAGGGCCACACAGGGCTATTCATGAGCACGCAGGCTCTAAAGTAAAATATCCATGAGCATGTTTAATATTGTTCAAAACAGAATGGAGAAAGCACGAACCACGTCTTCTCTCCAAAGGATCACCCGAGCAACGGGCACAGGAAGCAAGCTCTAGCCTCAACCTGAAAAATGGTGGTGGGACGCCCCCGAAGGGGTCAGCACTCTATAGGGCTATAAAGTGCTGGTGTGGATGGCATCTAAGGGATATACAACAAGTATTTCAAACACAAGACCCTCAAATAGGTGATAATACAATATAGTGGTAACCCCAAGTTACCTCGTTTGAAAATATACTTACTTTATATAAAAGTCAAGTAGTCGGCCCGTGGGCCCATGTTCATTTAGAAATCGCCATTCCCATTCCCCGTGACTATGAGCCACGACAATTCATAGAGTTCATTACATTACCATTGCATAGCAAGGGCTCGGCCCAACTACATTTCTATGCAATCCTTTATGTCAAGTTCGTTATATTACATTTGCGTCCTATCACATTTGCATAGCAAGGTCTCGGACCAACTACATTTCTATGCAAATTGCAATTTACATCCTATCACATTTGCATAGCAAGGTCTCAGACCAACTACATTTCTATGCAAATCACAATTTACATGGCAAGGTCTCGGACCAACTACATTTCCATGCAAATCACAATTACATCCTATCACATTTGCATAGCAAGGTCTCGGACCAACTACATTTCTATGCAAATCACAATTTACATCCTATCACATTTGCATAGCAAGGTCTCAGACCAACTACATTTCTATGCAAATCACAATTTACATGGCAAGGTCTCGGACCAACTACATTTCCATGCAAATCACAAAGTCCGGCTCTAATTCTTCATTATAGTCCAATTCCTAAGCAACCCTATGCCTAGAATTGACATCTCAATAATCTACCTTGGGTCATTCTCAATGACCGCCCATAACATGCCCTTAGTTTCATACTAAGTCATTTTATACACTTGAAGTACATTCAAGTTCATTCCATACAATCCAATACTTAGGATCAATTCTATCAACAATTTCAAATAATCACTAACTAGTATTTTCAATACTATTAAGATTATTGTCATTATACAAATATCTTCATTTTGTAATTCTCTACATATTTATAAGTATGTAGCATCAACTTAAATATTCCACTTCAATACATAATATCCATTTATGTATCCACATGTTTAATACATGAGTAAAATTCCTATTTCACAAAATAGTTCATTTATAACTCATTTAATCTCATATTATACATACATCCTCAAATCATTTCCAATTTCATTCTTTGGGAACCATATCAATATTTCATCAATATTTAATCATCATAATCCATGAAAAATTATGATTTAGGCATTTAGGTAATCTCATGCTTAACCTACAAGTTGTAAGCAATTAGATGTCGATCCTCACCTCAAATGAGCTTTAAACTATTCCTTCTTGATCCAATGACCAAAGCCTCGGCCAAGGAAGTTTGAGAACTGATTCCTTGCTTAAAAATGAGTGTTAAACAGCCTCCTCGAGGTGCTTGCTCAACTCCTAACCGAAGACACGAAAACAGTCCCTAGAACGGGTGTTTTCCGACAAATTCGTCCCCTAACCTTTCAAGGTTTTGTCTAGGTTAGTATCTAACATTTCCAACAATTAAAGTCACTATATAATAGCATCTTATACCATTCAACCAGTTTATAATAGCTCTTAAATCATTCATACGATTTAGACAATAGAGAGGAAGGTTTTGGATTCAAACTTACTTTGAATACAAAAACGTATTCTGCAAGGTTGCGTTTTGTTCGGACGATTTGGAGGCCTTAAACTGCTCCGTTTCCTTCAAACCGCATGTCTATGGATTCCTCTTCTTGAGAGCTTTCAGTGGACACCTCACACGCCCCTTTTGGATGAGTATTTCTCAAGATACGAACCAAACAGTGAGCTCCACGAACTGGAGATTAACCCTGCGGCCAGCTCCCTTATCTCTTTCTCTTTTGAGTGTGAGGCTCTCCCTTCTTTCTTATCCCTTTCAGTTCGAATGGGGGGTGAGGGGGAGGTGTTTAGGAGCTCTCAAAATGATATCTAAGCATGTGGTTCACAAAAAGAAAGGGTAGGGTGTTTGATTGCAATTAAACATGGTGTGGACCTCCTCTTTTATTTCTTTTTTGTAATGTTGTAGCTCTCAAGTCAAATGTCCGCCCCACATAGTTGTCTCACCCATTTTTCTTTGTCTTGCAGGTACCAAGGTCATGTGGGATGGTTCCCAAATGATCCCATTCAATTTGGGGTCCAAAATACCTACCAATACTTCCAAAATGAAAAGATGGACCCTATTGTTTTATCCTTGTCATGAGATGTCTTTTTGTACTCCTTATAATTTATGTAGGCCAAGTCAACTTCATAAATCATATTATTGATTCCCAACATGTGTAGGATCATCCCAATAACTTACATGTTGAATATTATAGAAGGAAAATCATACTCCCATTATTTAGCTCAAAAATGTCGAAGATGGGACCATAGGCATTTGTATTCTTCTCTAATCATACTATCACTTATTTTGACATTGTCATTCATATATTGGACTACTAGCCGTGTGGGTCACCCCCGAGTGGGCCTACGATGCCATTCTTGAATACTTGCTATTTTTAGCAGGTTGGGCCCAAAATAATGTTTGGGCCGCCCGACCTTCCTCAAATTGTTTTGAAAGATTATGTAACATTATTTAGATAATGTTGGGCTCTTATGTTCATTAATAAGGCCCAAATAAGTATTTGCAAACCCGACACTAACATACGAGTTTGAACAATACAAAAATCAATCATGCGCTACGTAAAACATTAATTGTTTTACAATTGTTTGGAAGTCGAAAATTCAATACATAGAAATTAATTTTTTTTTTATATTGAGTTTTTCAAGGACGTTCGGGTGCGGTGTCACAGATAAAAGTATGACCTATGCTCTTGGGAATAGGAACCCCGCAAAAGAATTCTTGAGCAGCATTGAGGAGGTCATTTTTAATAGTGTCAAAACAAACCTGATAGAAACAGCCATTGAACCTCATGGAGGATCATGATGATGTTAAGATTCCTGATAAGGATGAACCTAAGACCCACACTAAAGCAATATTAGATGTTGATTTAGAGAAATGGCGAGAAACCATGAAATCAAAATGGACTTGATGTATATCAATCAGGTATGGAACTTGATTGATTTGTCTGTTGGGTTAGACCCATCGGATACAAACAAGTCCATTTGGATTTTGCTTGTGATAGCCGCATACTATGATTATGAGATTTGACAAATGGATGTCAAAACCCTTTTCTTTAATAGAAACCTCACGGAGGAGGTGTACATGGTATAACCTGAAGGTTTTTGTATCCAAGTCAAATTCTAAATCACTATGTTAATTAGAGAAATCCATTTATGGGCTAAAACAAGCCTCTAGGAGTTGAAATATTAATTTTGATGAAATATTCAAATCGTTTGACCTCATCAAATGAAATGAGGGTGCTTGCGTGTTTAGAGTGCGCAACAAGGATATCATGGTCTTTATAATCATATATGTTGATCATAGAAAATGATATCCTCTCATGGAAGTCCGTGAAAGAATGGTTACCCAAAATCTTCATGAATATCCTTTTTGTTTATGGTGGACAGAAAGAACTAGTAGAACTTAATTATTCTAACACTAGTTTCATGTATGATAAGGAATACTACGAGTCATAGTCAGTATATGTTTTTAGTCTCAATGTAATAGTGGTGCTGCAAGAGTTGCAAGTAAGAAACTACTATAAATTCGACCATTAGAGTCTAGTAAAATGTTGTGTTTGATGCAACTTAGGTAAACATTTAGATATGTTAGTTCCTTAAAGAAATAGGGGTAGTTCCTAGCGACAGTTATCCAATAATTGTTATTGTGACTATACTGGTGCATTTACACAAGCTATGGAACCAAGATGCAAAGTAAGGAACTAGAAAATACCTGTATGCTATCTTTTTTTTAATAACAAATAGCAAGAGGAGAAGTTGCAATAGAATGCATTCCCGTAGAGGACAATTTGGCTGGCCCATTTACCAAACCTTTGAGATGCGAGAAACATACTAGACTTTTGAGAGCCTAGGTCTTAGATGCATCGGTGATTGGCACTAGGCCAAGTGGGAGATTGTTAGTATATATGTCCTAGCGACATCACTTTTTAGAGATATATGTACTTGATCACATTCAGTTTTATATATTTGATATATACGGTACTACACATTGATGATTAAGTATTTCGATTGTCAATATCTTATTCATAATTGTGTTCCCTTGGACTTATGTTGTCTATAAGTAAGTGAGAGCTTATATGATATACCATAAGGTCCTAAAATAGCCCCAATCAATGATCATCAAGGGATATTGATGATATGTGATAAGATTGGTATATGGACTGCATCATACTTTTAGAAAGTATAGTTGATCTCACAACTATGAGTTCCTGTAATTCATGATGGTCACATAGATATTTTAGAGAATATTGGCATACCCACCGAGAAATCATTTGATAAGTTCTATTCATGTGTCTATGGGATTATCGGCGTATAGAGTAGTGTAATAGTCCTCCGACTTGAGGTCAATACGTACTACATGTGCGGAGTGATGTACTTTGACCATGACCAACGCTTGCACTCCAATCGGGGTAGATACGGCATGTGTTGGGTGCATCACGAAGCACATGGAGTAGTAGTTGAGCCAAGAAAGGATTCATTCCTCATAATAGATTAAGAGAGAATATTCTACTTCTCATATTTAAATGGATCATAAAGTCATTGGCCAATGCAAAGATATATTCGTTTTGGATATCGAATATGATCGTTATGGATCATCTAGAAAGATTGAGAGACAAAGACTAAGTTATTAGAATAGACACAATATCATGTTTTAGACTTAGTTGAATGTTCGCTGAATGAAAGGACCGTATCACTATGAGCTCTATATTACAGGGAGTTTGAATAGTCCTCGCAAACGTCCTTATATATTAAGTTTGTTTAGTAAATCGTCTAGGGATTCTGCTAAGACCTTAATTTGATTAGTTCTTAATATATATAAGGCCCTATGGGTCACACAACAAGTGATTATACCTCCCGATTGAATTGTTAGAAGGAATTAAATATTAATTGGATTAAATAATATTTAATTCGTAATACTGAAAATGGATTAAATATTAGTTAGATTACACTATATTTAATTCATGATGTTGAAGGAGAGTTCTATTTGATAGGATTAATTAAGTGTGATAAATTAGATTTATTATACTTAATTAAGATGTGTTTTTAATTAAATAAAGTTGATATTTTCTTTTATAATTTAGAATTAAAAGAAAATAGAAAATGAAATAATTAATAATAATAACATGAAAAGTGACGTACAGCCACTTGATATTATTATTAGTTTATTTTATTGTTTATTTAATTAATAAGATCATTAATAATTATTGGTCCTGTTAAGACTAGAACTCATTAACGAGAAAGACTTTCATTGTGATTGGGAAACTAGTTTAGAACTAGTATAAATACACCCTCCTTCATAATTCTTAGATAAGTTTTTAGATTCAGTATTACTAGTATATTTCCCTGCGAAGAGATTTCCTAGCATTTCTCTTTGGGAGATCTAAACGTTCTTTCGGAAAGGAGAAATCACGTGGATACCTAAGGTCAAAGATTGTCACCGCTAGGCTGGAAGATCTGTAAGTTCTAACTCAGATCTGTTATTATTGTTATATTCGTTATTTTGTCATAATCAGGGAAGATCTGTTTGGGAAAATTTTAAACTTCCGCGGCTGTACTTCTGAGGTACGTTACATCAATTTCCTAACATTAACCCCATCCCAACACCGTTCACCATCACCTCCTCCCTCTCCGCAACCTCAGAAAACCTCTCATCAACAATCTCCACCTCATCAGGACTCCCCCCACCAGAAATCCAAGACGGCCTCACCTACACATCAGAAACCATCTTCCAAACCTCTTTCTCCTCAGCATTCTGTTGCCTCAACCCCAAAGAAGCAACCAGTTGTGAGGATTCTCTCCTCAACTGATAACAATGATGGATTTCTGACTTCATCCATGGCTGCTGATCACCAATCCAAACGAAGAAAGACACCAACTCCTCCACCATCACCCAAGCCTCAAATGCCTAAGGGTAAAGGCCTCAAGATGCCAGAGCCTATCCGAGAAGAAGGACAGATACCCTTCAATATATTTGTGGCATAGGCAGAGGTGTTTGGTGACCAGGTAGTGGAAGGCATGGAAAAACTTCTACTAGCCAACGTGAAGAATGACGAGCATCTGACTCAAGTCCATGACCATCTCACCTCAGGCCTCAAACTGCTGATGAAGCATGTTGGCTCCCTTACAGAATCCTTCACCTCCTTCATGAAGAACTCTTCTGACAAAGTCAATAGCATCTCCAAAGAGGTAGACAGAATCAATGTTGTTCTCTACCATCACACGCAAGTCCTCAATGCTCAAGAAAAAGCCATAAAAGAGGTATCTGACTCTGTTGATAATCTCCAATGGTCACATGACAAATGTCAAGAGCAGTTCATGGACATTGAAGGACTCTGCAAGACCAACAAAGAGCATGCTTTGAAGCTGATCCTGAATGACAAGGAGCGATATCAGAAGTTGATTCTCTTGGAAGCCAGCACAAAAGATATTGAATCAGCTGTGGAAAAGCAACAAGGGTTGATAGAAGGACTCACTTCTGTGACTCAAACTCTACCAGAGACCCTTGAGAAGATTAAAGACTCTCATGCTTCAGAATTTTCAGAGATCGGACTCCTTCTTGGCGATCTTGTTGATGCCAAAAGGGGGGAAGAAACAAGATAAGTGGTCAGAGCTGCAGAAGGCCATAGCTCCAGAGCTTTGACAATCACCCCTGCTGATCCTACAATGTATTATGAGAGAGCTGGGCAGAAAAGAATGGCTACAGGAATCCACAGATCTCCTCCTCCTCGTTCCAAGAAAGGCAAGAAAAAAGAATCCTCCTTCACTCTTACCCAGTGGCTGAACAGTGGGATGTCAAGGCCTGACTCAGCTCAGTTTGCCCAGATAAAGAAGTTCATGACTCCCCTACAGCAAGAAAATCTTATTCAGGATAAGGATGGACTGATCATGATCAATCATGGTGGTTCAGTCCAAGAAGCTGAAGACTGTTGGAGAATGAGAGTGATCCATGGAAAGGACGTCTCAGAAGCTGT